GACAGGTAATTTGACTTCCGATGACACCTACCAAGAACTGTTGGTAATTATCAAAGGAAGAGTTTTTGTTCCAGCTTCTTCTATCATCATTTGGGGTATCCAGTTTTTTAAGAATTTGTTTTTCTCTTGCCTTTTCCGTCTAATTCATGGTTGTTTTGCTTTGTTAAACAATAAACAATATTGTATTTTGGAATTTGGGGGAAGGGCGTATATGATTTAGCCCTGGGATGTACTCTAGTGCTTCTAATGCTTATTTACTCCATCTTCTTGGAAAAAAAAAATAATAATACATTCCCAAGACAAAGTGGGTTATTATGGTTCAGAATCATTATTATTTAGTTCATGGATTCAAAATTATAATTCAAAACTATTCTCGTTTTACGTGTATTTTTTGTGAGAGAAAAATACTGTAGAAAATCACGAATCATGATTCAAAATCATTGACGAATATATGAAACAAACACCCTCTTAGAGACAAAAAAAGAGAGATTTATGAACGAAAGTAGATATGTACATCCGAATTTCACACATCTAGAACTTAATAATCATGAAATGGTGAATTGTGAGAACTTGTGCAGAGACTACTAGTACTAGTGCTATCTAAAAGCAGTACACGGCCATGTCCAAAAGCAGTATTATGATGGATTGTAGGAGATAGATAGTTTGGAAGGTTCATCTTGGGTGGGAGCTTCGAAATCGAGCACAGGAATCGCTTGCTTTATGGAAGGCCTTTGCTTGTAATCTGGGTGAGCACACCACAGCCCAACAACCATTAATCTCTTCATTGTTTTCCTCATCAAATTCCCCACAGAGTTTTGGATCCACAGCTTCGAGAATCTTCTCCATTCCGTACAGCTCCCAAACCCACTCCACCAATACCTCTAACTCTTGTTTCTTATCATCTCCTTTTGTCACCCGCTCAACCGCTTTCCGTCCGGTGGCAATTTCCAGTGCCACGACTCGGAAGCTATAAACATCTGACTCCCTACTTGCCCTACCTACCGTGACACATTCTGGAGCCATGCAGCCCAATGTCCCGCCCAACATTGTCGTTTGCCAGAACCCTGCTTCGTAATCCACTAGCCGAGACAGGCCAAAATCCCCCAGCTTTGGATTGAAGCAAGAGTCCAACATCACATTGCTCGACTTAATGTCTCTGTGCAAGACACATTTTTCGCACTCTTCGTGCAAGTAGAACACAGCTGATGCTGTTGGGATTTCTTAGTGATCTAAACATGCTGCTTACAAAGTTGAGTAGCAATTAGATCAAATGACTAAAAATCACCTCCGGCCATTGACGTTCTCGGTGGGTAAAAGGAAAAACTCGGTTTCGGTTCTTCTAAACCTCACTCAATCTCTCGTTGATGGTGTATATTTTTACTGAATGGAGATTGCATGTTTAGGGACCTAATCGGTATGTGCACTGCCCCTTTATACTCTCTGCCCATCACAGAGTATTTCTTGGACGTGCACCAGACGTGGGCAACAGTGGGCAACTGAAGATGAACGTGGCTAATCACGTTTCTTAAGTGGTGGAATAGGATGGACCACATTTTGAGGATCAAGGTTTCGGTTGGTTACCGAAATTTAATGGGAAAAATCCAACAGATGCCATTCCTCGTGCTATATTGTGCCTCATTGGCCATGTCAACGAGCTTTTAGATTCGAAGAGATGAAAATCTAAGCTTCTATTTGACATGAACTCATAAACGAGGAGGAGATCCTCATTCCGGTGGCACCAACCGATCAGCTGCACCAAGTTTCGGTGCCTCAACCGGCTGATAACCTTTACTTCAGATGCATATTCCCGTAGACCTTGTGTAGATAACTTTAGTACCCTCTTTATAGCAACATAGGAATTCAAGCTTTTGAGATATCCTCTGTAAACGCTGCCAAATCCTCCTAGCCCTAGCTTCTCTCCCTGCGCAAAGTTGTTTGTTGCTTCGAGCAATTCTTCGTAAGAAAACCTCTTAGCACCGCTGTCCAATTGGAAATCATTATCCATTGACAACTCTGTCATAGCCACTGAACAAAGATTATCCTTTTCAATTCCAGCTTTTTTCCTCCTCAAGATGATCACAAGACAAATCAAAAGAATTACAATCAAGAAAAGGAAAGAACCAATGGTAATAAGTACCGACATTTTTGAAACATTAGGATCTCCACTTTCTAGTGGAAACGTAGAACTAAAAGACCATGAATGGAGAGTATATGTGGTTGGACGCATAAAGCCCGTTAGCAGCTGAGAAGCCAAACACAACCCATTCTGGCAAATGATCTGCCAAATTAATTTCATAGGACATCTTTTTCTCCACAGGGACATTGCTTTCTTTATCATATCCCTTGAATTCAACACTTTTAACAATTTAAGTTTTGAATCGTAATTGATACTTGCACAATTTACCATGGGTGTCAAGGAAAAAATGTTACAGGACCTATAATGATCCTATAATGAGAATATTGGATCATTTGTGAATATGGAGATGAAGAGCCTGGGAAAATACTAGATGTTGTATCTTCAGCCATCGTGGGAAATTATTGTTGTTGGATTTAATTAGGCTTCTTATGTTTTGGATGAAGACAGGAGTTTCTTTAGCATATATATTATTGGCCTCGTACATTTTGCGTGCTTAATTTGCAACCTAATAATTGGAGCAATATTCCTAAAAAAAAATGATTCGAGAAATACTTTTTTTTTTTTTTTTTTTTTTTTTTTTTTATAAGAAAACTCTTGGAATTAATTATAAACACCGAAAGACTCTTAACTCTTGTCAATGTTTAAAATTGAAATCTTGTAAGAAGCCATTCTAATGTTTTTTGTTGTTGTTGTTGTTGTTGTTGTTGTTGGTAAAGTTAGTACTCTAAAGCAATTATATCACGTAGAATTTTTTATAGGAGAAGCTAGGGCACCATTGGCCAGCCTGCAGCGGTGTTTGTGGTTACTACCATCAATTTGAAGACATTAATTAGTTAAATATATTTGAAACTTCTGGTCAGAAATATGGAACAATTAGCTATAGTCGACGGTATTAAACTATTAATTAGCTCTCGTTGCAGGATTCTCTAACGAAGGAGTCAATTGGCTAAGTGTCATTCATTCTATCTCTCTCTCTCTCTCTCTCTATATATATATATATATATATATATATTAAACTATTATTTGGCTCTCGTTGCAGGTTTCTCTAACGAAGGAGTCAATTGGCTAAGTGTCATTGTGTGTGTGTGTCTCTCTCAATAATTGAATAACATTGGTAAAATTAAGTTTAAGAGAAAAAGTAATGGGATAATAAAATTGGTAATATTAAATAAAAAGTATAAAATAAAGGTTTATTCTATAAAAGGTCCCTCACATTTGAAATTAAGTTTAAGAGAAAAAGTAATGGGATAATAAAATTGGTAATATTAAATAAAAGGTATAAAATAAAGGTTTATTCTATAAAAGGTCCCTCACATTTGAAATTAAGTTTAAGAGAAAAAGTAATGGGATAATAAAATTGGTAATATTAATTAAAAGGTATAAAATAAGGGCTAATCCTATAAAAGGTTCCTAGATTTATTATCAATCCCACTTTGATCTCTAACTTTTAAAACATCTCAGAGTTGATTCTCGAGATTTTACTTCGTTTCAGTTTCGGTCATTCTGTTAGCTAGGTGTTAGATATTTGACAAAATCTGTGGAAATTAAGGACCAATTTTTTTTTTATAAAAAAAATCTAAAGTTAAGAGACTAAAACAATACAAAAATAAAAGTTAATTTCCATAGATAGTCTCTAAATTTTAGATGTTTTCAATTTTAGTTACTAATTTATAAAGATTCCATCAAATATTTGACAACTAGTTAAAAGAAAAGACACAAATTGAAATAGAGTAAAATTTTAGAGATCAATTGTGTGACGTTTTAAAGGTCATGAATCAAAATGAGATTGAAGATAAAATTCAAAGACTATTCGTGAGATTAATCTATAAAATAATAAAAAACAATTACATGAACTCAATAGACGTACTATTTAATTTATTTGGAATAGGTTTGGTTTCAAAGGAATTTTATAATATTTAGCTAAAAAGTTCAGCATTGATTATATCATTTAGTCATTAGTTGTTGTTTCTGAGAGCTATGCACCCTCCTCTTTTTTTTTTTTTTTTTTTTTTTTTTTTTTTTTTTTTTTTTTACTATTCAAGAGTTTTATTGAGACATCTTTCATTTATTTTGAGCGGAAGAGTAAATCTTTTAATCACGGCTGCTTCAATCAAGTTTTGGGCATTTTTTATTTCCTTCACAAAAAACTTAAATTGTTTTCAAAATATTTGGTCATTCTCGGAATTGCATACCAATCAAATGCATTTTAGAATCATTTCCGAAAACAATTTCATCGGAAAATGTGAAAAGCACTGTTTTGAAAACATGAATAAACAGGGCCTTATTTAAGAGTTTTGTAGCCTTTTGGGCTTGTTATTTTAGGCCCCGTTCACTTTATCGATTTGAGTTTAGAATTTGAGTTTTGTTACAGTAAAAAGCTTTCAGAAACAGTCACATTTAACTTTTTTACTACAGTAAAAAACTCTCATATAAAATTACATCTCAACTCGAATTACAAATTTGAATCAGTGAAGTGAACGGCCTGTTCATTTGATTGAACTCTTTTGTGATTTTTTTTTCTTTTTTTTTTTTTCTGTTTTAATACAGGGCTAAACTTAGGAAGCTTTTCATAAAAAACAAATTACCAGAAAAGACACTAAGAAATACACGAGAATGCATGGGAAAATTATACATGAAATCTCTAGTCTGGATATCATGATTCTGCTTCCCTGTAATCACCGCTGAAATTAGAACAAGCAATAAAGACAAAAATAAATACATAACAAACATAAAACTACTACAAATATAGATGTGGGATAAATTTTTTTTTTTTTTTTTTCTGCGCATACGTAGATTACTCAGTACGATAAGTTTGAGGTGATACGGCATGTAGTTTTAACAATAATTTTCGTAAATATTCCCACTAAATCGTCGTTGTCGAGTCCTTTGTATCTCGGACCAAAAAGACCATGGAAGAGAGAACATTTTTCGACGTAAAAAGTCCATTTGCAGCCGAGAAGCCAAATACAACCCGTTCTGGCAAATGATCAACCAAATTAATTCGGTGGGACAAAGTTTGTTCAATATGAGAACCTTCTTGATCATATCCTGTAAATTCAACACTCAATAATTTCACTGCAGAATCATAACTGATAGTAACCTTATATTTGTATACCTTTGGCCAGGACCTTAACTTACCAGACCATGACGCAGTTGCCCTAGAAACCATAGAATTGACGTTTAAACCGACGTGTTCCTGAAGATCACGAGGATCAAAATCGTTCTTGAAAGTGTCGAACTCAACCGCGGCGAATCGATTGGCATACAAAGCTATCTCGTCGTCGTGATGGGACAATAAGTGAACGTTTGGTTCATAGGTTTAGAATCATTCTCAGTTTACGTGTATTTTTTTGAGAGAAAATACTATAACGAGTAACGAATCATGATCCGAACCATAACACGAATCCTTGTTCCAAACGCAGCACAACTTCCATCCGTTATTTTTGGTACACTGAATGGAGGCTGCGCGAGGAAGAAAGCGATTCCATCTCCAGGCGCCCAGTCGTTTGAATGGATCATGAAGGAGAATTGAGTAATGAAATCGGCTTCCATTAGCAGTCCCGACGAGGTCTCCCAAAGACGCATCGGCTGATGAAAGTACCTCAGCCGTCCGATTTGGTCCTTTTTGTTTTTGGTGAGTTGTTCTTCTGAACCCAAGAAGGTGACATTTCCTTGGGCTGTTAAGTTAGGGTTTTGTTGCTCAAGTGCTGGGTAGTTGAATTCTAAGGGAGCTGAATAATTTGGGAGAAGCAAGAAAGATATAATCATGATCATCAAATTAGACAGAATAAACTCTGGTGCAGCCATTGTGAGCTAAGAATTTGTGGGTTTATTTGAGGCTTTTCTTTTGGTTTGGAGTTGCACTAAAGTATATAGATTTAACAATTAGTAGCCCTTCTTAATAACTAAATAACGGATGTTTAATCTGACTATACCATGTTCTATCGTGACTAATTTATAGCAGTTATCATAAAATAGTTTCACATATACGCGTCATGTAAATTAAATGTTATGGTAAGAGTAGTGGAATTATGTTCCATAATGCCAACTGGCGAATTTTCTTCCATAGACCACCTTGTTGGGTCTGTGTGCGTTTTAAAATAAAAATAAATAAATAAATAAATTCTGTTTTAGTACGTAGCATTGGTGTAGACATTATTTTTAAATTGAACCACTAATCTATCATTCAAAATATGAATAAAAATCTCTTTTTTAATGGAGTTCTCATCCTTATAGACTACAAAAAGGCAGCCTCAATGATTGGTTGGGGGCCGTGCCGTGTTGCTGGCTCTGAGTCTAGTCGAAGGGATTCGTTTCATTTATTCAATTCGGGTCTAATATATGTGTCTATGTGTGTATATATATATATATACGTATTACAAATTAGATTGTTTACTTAAGCTAGAGCTTTTGGTACTGTAAGAACAATTTCTGTCTTTGTTTATCAAAATGAAAAGGTTGGTATGACTTTGTGATCGGCTTATGTAATGTTTATTCAATCAGGTTTTTCTTTTTTTAATAAAAAAGTGAATTTTTCTTTTTCAAAACAGGTTTGCTCATCATTTTTTCAGTTGTTCCTAATTTTTTTTTTTAATTGGGGAAAATAAAATATTCAATTGTTTAGAACAAATAATATAGGTCATTGTTAATAGTTAAGTTAGATCGGGTCTGAGGTTGTACCAAGTTTGTTGCACAGTTAGACCAATATGTCAAATTTGACGGAGGTCCTGCTTTGGGGTTGAATCAAACGGTTAGATTGAAAGGTTGGTGTGTAATGCCCCAAACACGACATATATGAGATTCTTTATTTACCTTAATTAATGCTCGACGACTCTGTGATTTTTGTGCGTGCTCGAATATTTCGAGAAGTACCTTAGGATAGTACCATATTCTATGATGTACACCAATTAATTTTCAAACTTTTATAAATTTGAAATATTAGGAGTAACTCAAATTTCTAAATAATGACGAAAAAATTGTTATTCCAAGAAAAGCTACCCTAGATGGAGGTCAATTGGATATTTAAGATTTTTCAAAAACTAATAAAATTATTGGAGAATTAGCACAAATATCAAAAATTAATGAAAATAATCTGTACGTGGTAATTTTATCAAACGCTACGTAGGCAATGCAATGAACACTCAATTCAATTAAAGAAAAATAAGTAATTAAATCTCTAGAAGATAATCTACGATCAAAAGCACAATCTAAAATTAGAATTCAATAAATCAAAGAGAGGTAGGGAGAGAAGTGTGTACACGAGGATTTATGGTGATTCGGTGAAGATTGCCTACATCCACTATTCCTGAGCTATTCTGTCACTGAACCTCTTCCATTATTTGATCGTCTTTCAAAGACGATTAATTCCACCTTACAAACGGTGAATTATTCTGCTCGAGGCTCACCCAACCTCTTACAACCATCGATTTTCTCCGGAGATCGACTAACCAATCAAATTCCAATTCACAAATCTTGAAAGAAGATTAAATGAAGATTACAAAGCTATTTGACAAGTAAAGCACTCAAACTCTCACTGCTAGAAGAATTTTACACAAGGAAAAGAACTAGAAGATGATGAGGTCACACTATCAAAAGGAAATTTAAGGTAGGTTCAAGAGTGTGTAAGAAAATCAAGAAAAAATCTAAAGAAGAAGATGGTTATGTAAGCACTTTTGAGAAACTTTTAGATTTTAGACAATGGAGGAGCTCTTTATATCATTTCTTGCCCATTTTGGACCTCAATAAGGTCTTTACTAGGAGAAAACAAGTCAATTTACCCGTTTCATATCGCTGTCAAAGGTCAGATTTTTGTTCGTTTGCACAGTACCGATCTACCTGTGGTTTACCGCCGAACAATCGGTTGTGAGAGAAGATTTAAATTTCACCAATCGATGGTACAATTATATAGTCTCTGCCACTGATCGACTGGTGGAGCCTATTTCATCCTCTCACAACTACAAAATCAAAATTTCACACAAAAATTGGCAAATAAACAATTTTCAAATAATTTTACAAATGGATAAAATGATTTATACCAAATTAAAAACACTTGTAATGATTTAATTTAATTTTAAAAATATTTATATGAGTGTTGCCAAACTTAAAATTAACAATTGATAGTATGAAATCAAAATCAATATAAGACTAGAATTAGAACAATCCTATAAAATGATGTATTGATTGATCTTCAATCTTCAATCTTGGTGCTCCTTGAATTATCTTCAATTATATTTTTCCAAAAACCATAAAACGCCATTATGGTACTAATGAAAATAACAGTATAATTATTTTTATGTGAGAGATGGTGTAAACTAACAAAATAAAATTCTGAATGGAAATTTAAATGTTAGTATCTCAATTGGTGAAAAATGTAATAAAATTTTTAACATCAGATTCTTGATCGAAGAACTTTTATAAAAATTCATTTTCATGGAAAAATTTACAATTTTGGCAAATTGCGGCAAAATTACGGCACCAAAAATGTAATTTATTATAATATGTAGCCCAAAGGATGATTTTAAAAATGTTTAGGTCACAAATAAAAGTGCTGATGGGTTTCTAAAAGTTTTTAATGGAGTGTTAAGAAAACACCGTCCACCGCACCTTATAGGATTATAGCTTAGTAAAAAAAAAAGAAAAAAAATGAAAGAGAGAGAGGGTCATGTATCGATTAGTTTCATACTCTATCAGATTAGAGGGTCTAAAATCTAAGGCCCTGTTCATTTCACCGATTCGAGTTTTGTTACAGTAAAAAGCTCTCAGAAACAGTCACATCTAACTTTTTTGCTACAGTAAAAAGGTCTCACATAAAATTACATCTCAACTCGAATTAAAAACTCGAATCAACGAACTAAACGGGCCCTAATTCTCTTCTTTCTCACTCTCTCCTCTACCATTCCGCAACCCCCATTAGCTATTACAAGAAAACCGCCTTCCTCACACCTCTAAGCTTCAATTTTCTAGTCTCTCTCTTTCTAATCAATAGAGGGACTAAACTCTTGCTTTCTTTCTTTAATTTTAAAGGAATTTAGTAGCTCAAAAACTCTTTCAAAGCTGCTGTCAATTTGGATTCCGAGAAGGGGGTTGAAGCTTCTTCAACATAGTACTGGATTTTGGTAAATTTACTCTCTTAATAACCTTCTAAAAATGTTTTCCTCTATGCGCATCAATTAAGACGAATTTTTCTCTTTTTTTTCACCTATATTTTTCTTCGAGTTATATCCTCGTTTTTAAAGCTACAATTTAAGTTTCTAGCCAACCAAATTTCCGATTGATCCTCAAGAGTAAGACTTTAAACATTTAGGATTTTTGTTGTTATGGTTAAATGTGTTATTTCGATGATCTTAGATTGACTTTTTGTTGATTTAAACTTGGAATGTTTATTCATGCGTTTGAATATGAGTTTTAAATGTGAATGAGTTCGCTGGCCTTATACGTGAGATGTAGTGAACCATGCATAGAATCAACAACAACAACAACAACAATAATAGCGTTAGGGTGGAAGAAAACCAGAAGTAGGAAACGATGCCCCGAAGTCCAAGGAGAACCCAAGAAGAACCAAAAAAATTAAAAAATAAAAAAAAAGTTTTCTTTTATTTAAATTGTTGCTACTTTTATGTTTGGTAGGAAAGAAAAGTAGAAGGAAGGAAGAAGGTGGAGGGATTTTAGGAGGGAAAATGAAAATATAAGTTGTTTGGTAGGAGAGAAAAGAGAAATGAAGAGAAAATGGAGTGAAAAATAATACATGTGGGTTACACCATTTTTTTTCTTTTCACAAGTGGGCAGAAAATGGGATGGAAAATGGAGACAACTCATTAAAGTGAGCAAAGTTACTAAACTACCATTTTCTCCATCAACATCCAAGCAAAAAATTTAAGGGTATAAAAGTAATTTATGAGTAAGATCTTTTCTTTCCTGTCAATTTAACTTCCAATACCAAACAAGTGAATATAAGCTCATTTTCTTTCTATCTTCTCATACCAAACAACATAATAGAAAATCAATTTTCTTTCCATCATTACTATTTTCTTTCTATATTTCATTTCTATCATATTTTCTTTCATTCCTACCAAACATTAACATTTGACTCTTCGGTATACAATTTTGCGGTTTGAGAATTTTCTAATGTTTTGGCCCCACAAGTTTGTAAAATTTGTAAATAGGCTCTGGCTTGTTTTCAGCCTCACTTCCTATGACCCACTTTGATTCCTTCAGGAAAACTTGTAGGAGACATTTCTTTGTGAAGCCTAAGTGGTAGGCCCAAAGCCCATTACGTCCTTTTCCATATGGATTTTTTTTCCTGCCTTCTCTTTTCTTCTTTCGCTCTTTTGTTATGATTGATGATTTACGTATGGATAAATTTTCAATGGATATGTGGAACGGTTGCATTTTAATAGAATTTTCCCCTTTGCATTATTAACTTGCTGATATTTGGAGGAAAATATACGGATTAATTTTTCTTTTATGTTACATATGATGGGGTTAGACAATTTCTTGGTTTTTACGAGCTTTATATATATATATATATATGAATATGAAAGGTTCTTCGGAGCTTGAAACAGCACTTATTCTCTTTTCCAGATGTTGTTAGTTTAAGTTGGTTATGCTTGTTGCTCAAGTTAAGATAAAAATAAAATAAAAATAAAATAAAAAATAAAATAAAAAATAAAAATAAAAAATAAAAAAATTTGGTCTTTGATATCTTTTATTTTATTTTATTTTTATGATAGTAAAAAATGTGAAAGATAAAATTTTCAAATCAAAAATCACAAGCACAACAATCTTTAACCCAAATTAAAACTAATGAC